CCTATTTTTAAAAAATATGTTATAATTTGCTATTTATTTAAAAAAAAATAGAGGTTAGGAGGAAGGAGAGAGGTGGAAAATGAGATTTAAGGGAATTTTTGGGTTTTAATATTGTTGGATACTTGAAATATCAAATTATGTTATAATCTACTATTTTAAAAAAATATGTTATAGTTTACTAAACATTCTACCAAATATGTTATTTTTCTCATTCTCCTTTTAAATTTTTATAAGAAAAACCATTGTAACAAAAACTTGATTTGTGATTTGGATTAACGAAAGGAAGATGCCCTAACTAAAAATGCCATTTTTCAAAAAAAATTACCCCTTTTATTTAAACTAGTTTTGGTACGTGTAATGCACATACTCAATTAACGTAAAATACAAACAACAATAAAACAAAAAAAAAATTATGATTTTTGCTTAGAGATTAAAAAAAAAGTATGTGTTAAGTGGAAGTATACTTGTTCTAACGAAGATAGCACACCTAACTGCACAATAAAGTGTAGAGTTTGAATCCTCCACACATCATCTTTTATTTTTCTTAAAAGTATACGTTAATAGTAGTTTAAGTGAAAAAGATATGTTTAATTATAAAAATACATGAAACAGTCTAATTTATAAGATAACAAAAGAAAAGGAAAAAAAATAAATGAGTTAAAACTTAAAAATAAAAGAAAAAAGTAAAGCACATAACACTCATTGTTTAGAACTACCATATGATGAACAACAACGAAATATCTACTTTTTTATTTACTTAAGATTATGATTAGGATTTAACACGTTTATAAAATAAAATAAATAAATAAAAAGTTAAAAAAAATAAAGCACCAAAAAGGTTATGAAAAAAAAACGAAAAAGAAGGAATATTAGAGCCATGATGGCTCTTTTATATGTGTAGGATAATAATTGTATAGAAGACTAAAAAAAAAAAAAAAAAATTGAGTATGAGCATATTTTTAGAAATTTTATTTTAGTGGGATAAACGGACAATTAAAAAGAAATTTGTGAGAATGACTTTTAATGCACAATATGTTAGAGCACTACCGGAAAGAAACATATAAATAGGATAATAATTAGAAAAAAAATTACGATAAATGAAAGAAAAAATTTAAAAAAAGATAAGTGCGAAGAATATAAAATATTGGGAAAAAAAAAAGAAAGAGGAGAACATAAAAAATAGAGACCTTCTCCGGCACGCTAACATACCGGTTGGTCAAATATTATGTCGGTTGGATCTATATAAAATTACGTAAAAGTAAAAAAATATGCATATCTAATAATTAAAAAAGCCTGACCTACTAGCACATCATGCATATCAAATTCAATTTAAGACGCCGTTTGGTTCATGGATTAGAACCATGAGATTAGAACCATTTTCGATTTACGTGTGTTTTGTGAGAGAAAATACTATAGCGAACTATGAATCATGATTTGAATCAGAGAACGAATCCTCCAATCAAACGGGCTAGTCTTAAATTGAATTTGAGTTATAACTTGAATTGAAGTTATAACTTAAGTTTTTATTTAGTTCTGTACATTTGAGTTATAGTTTAATATGAGAATGTTTTTAAATTTGTGTTTAAGTGGGTTAAAACTTAAATTTATATTTAGATAGTATTTTAATAAAAACTCAACGGTGATGGAAAATTTTAATAGAATATATGAGTGGTATTTTATTCGTCTCTTTGTTGTGAACACATAAGAAAAAAATCATCTCAATCGGAATTAAAATGAAAAAGATGGCATTTTTAAAAAAATATATATTATTTATTAACTTGAGTTTAAATTTAGAAATTTGAGTTGAAGTGGAGATTTAAATTCAGATTTTAATTCTAAATTCAAATTAAAACTCAAATTTAAATTTAATTTTATAAAATAACATGAATTTAAATAAAATTATAACTTGAGTTAAGGTGCAAAACAACATACCCTAAAATTTCCCTAACGTTTCTATTTTATTATTATTATTTTTTTTGGCTAGTGAGCGTTTCAACTCTTTAGATAGTAGTGAAAATGGTCTAAGCCAGAAGGTTTTTTTTTTTTAAAAAAAATGTCCAGAAGGAAAATTCCCGAGTAAAAAAAAAAAAAAAACCTAACCAGAAAAGTGGCCGTCATCTCATCTTCTTCTACAACTCACTCTGAGTCTCGACTTCCCATCTCCTCTCAGTCGGATAAGCAGCGGCGCTCCGGCCCTCCGGCGATCTCCCCTCTGTAAGGTTTTTTCTTTTTTTCCTTCTCCTTCTTTCTTTCTTTCTATTATTGTAAAGCAATTTTTAGCATACATATAGGGAGAGAAAGGGCTTCCTCTTTATCTTCTTCTCCAACATTTCCTCTTTCCCACATGATCTCGCCGCAATTTGTTTCGATTATTGCTCTATCATTTAAAATTTTATTGAAGTCTTAAAATATTCCAGAATCTTTTCTTATTTACGATGATGATGGTGATGATAATCTGTTTTCATTTTTATGTTTTCATTGATTCCTTCATATTCCCTGCTTGATCTCCTACTTTTGGTTTCTGGTTTGTTGGGGTATGATTTGCTTTGCTGCGTCGTTTGTTTGGGTGCTTGACCTTCTGTTTGGAGTTTGGATGTTCTCATAATATTTAGTTACTATTTACATTGCGTTTGGTATGAGAGTTCTATAACTGGAACTATGATTCTGGTTCAAATCTTGTTTGTTTGTAAAAAGTAAAAAAGGTTCTTGAAAACTAGTGTTTGGTTTGGATGGTTGTGGTTTAAGGTTTGAACCCTAAATGTTTTAAATCAAAACCACTTAGGGTGTGTTTGGTGCGTGGATTCGGGTGGTTCTAACCTTGGGGTTCATAGAAGAACCCATGTTTGGAAGCCTAAAATGCTGAGACTGGGTTGGGGTCAGATGGGACGTTTGAGGCCCTGATTCTGGAATCTGGCCACCCCTCCCCCCGATTCGTGCCCGTTGGAACCCAAATCCACTGTTGCGAACGGTGGTCTCCTCTCAATAATGAAGCTCACCGCTCGTCAACTACCCCTCGCGAATCTCCCCAGGCTTTTCTCCATTTTCCCGCAGGCGATCAGAGAATCTCCATTTTCCCGAGCAACAAGCAGAGAATCTCCTCAGCCTTTCTTCTCTCTTTCACCCCTCTTCCCCGAATGAGAAACAAAATGACAAATCGTGTAGCTTTTGTTTGTTGAAAGTTAATATTCTTTTTTGAATCGTGTTTGTCAATGTGCTGCCGTGTTGTTGCACGCATTGTCCTGTTGTTGGGTGTCATGTGCGTGTTTAGATGCCAAGAAGAAACCAAGATGAGAGGCCATTGCATTGGAGCCCTGTTGCATAGGCTTTTCTGCTTGAGAGATTGTATGAATACCACGACCAAAATCACGGTTGGCATCTAGAATTGCGTGACTATAACCAATGGGGAGTTGACATGGCCAAATTCTTTGATGGATATGTTCCCGATGGTGATCGGATTATGGAAAAACGCCGCCGTCTGGGGAAGGTTTACGCTGCGTACAAGATGTTGCAAAACCATACTAGAGTAGGTTGTGATCCTATCACTAAAACTTTCACATGCTCAGAGGAGCTGCGATCGATCTCTATAAGGTAACATGTGAGATTCATTAGTTTTGTAGTTCCCAAAATAGTAAACAAGTTAAAAAATTTTCAAGTACAAACAAGTAACAATTTTAATGTCTTACTAGAAAAACCGTGAAGCCCGAACATTGTTCACTCACGGATGGAAGCTGAATGAGTTGTATTTGGCCACCATTTTCCCTACTCGAATTGGGGCTCTGGTTCAGGGGCATACACCCAACCGTGGGACAAGAGGGAGTGGATAGTGTACCCTCAGAAGATGTTGCTGCTAGGGATGAACAGCCACAACCTGACCTAAATGCCCCTTACCAAACAAGTGATGATGACGAGGTCCGTAATGACCTTGACAACCTCGTCGAACGTTTTCGACAACGAAATGTGACCAATATTGCCTCATCTTCACGTGTGATTCAAAAGAAACAATTAAGGTCAAGGAAATCAAATGACAGTTCCCGTAAGGAGCTACTTGAAATGGTTAGAGACATGTGAGATGATTTGAGAGAAGATATTCGTTCTAGCAAAGATAGCCAGCCGAGTAACAACACTGTCAACGGCCCAAATGAAGTTGAAATCATCTTAACTTCGCTTGAGGAAATGAGAATTGACCCTCGGATGCGAGCCCATGCTTTCAACAAACTTATGGGTTCTGCTACTTGGCGGCCGGTTTGGGGCAGAGTTGGCGATGGCATGAGGCGGGCCTTCTTGAATGACTTTGTTGTAGTGCCACAAACGCCGTTTGTGTTTTAGCCACCTAATCCTTACAACTAGGTGTCGAACCCCTACAACCAGCCACCAAACCAATTCAACCAGCCACCAAACTCTTTCAACCAGCCACCAAACCAATTCAACCAGCCACCAAACTCTTTCAGCCAGCTACCGAACCCCTAAAACCAGCTTCCAAATCCATACAACCAACTACCAAACCCCTACAACAAGCCACCTACTCCTTAGAAGGCGAATCTTACGTTTATCTTGCAGTTTTACGTTTTCTTAAATGGTCCATTTTCCTTTTATGTTTGACCACGGACTACTGTTGTGTATTATGATTTGAGTTTATGATTTTATTAGGTGTCAATTTAATTTAAGTTATTGGCTATTGGTGTATGATATGTACTATTAGAGTGGATGGTTTGGGTAACATTACCCAAACCCACAGATTGTTGTACAATGCTATATTTGAGACTTTGTTTACAATTTTTCATTTGAGTGGAAGTTCGCTTTTCATAGCACCGATACTCTACAATTAGGTTGATGATGCACTCTTTATACAAATGCTCGAATATCATGTATTAATATTCTTGTACATGTTTCTCTATAGGTTTCCATAAAGTAACAGGATGCAAAGAGAAAGATCTTCACCAGTTACTGATAAACGGGACTTGACAATATCCTGCAGACGTAGGAGGTGATATCTTGCCGCCATGGGTGCAGCTGTAGCAACTTATGTTTGGTTAGACTTGGAAAGACGGCCAAGGCATATATCTTCTCTAAGGGGCATAGACAAGGTAAATGAGTTATTAAGAAGCACTGATGAGAAAGCAATGTTTAACAAGGTGCGGATGGAACCACGTGCGTTTATGATTCTTTGTGAAATACTAACTGAGAGAGGTTTGTTACAACCCTCAAACAACATGAACATCCCGGAACAATTATTTGTGTTCTTAACAATCATTTCGCAAAGTCAAACTAACCGTGAATCACAAGATGTTTGGCAACATTCTGGGGAGACAATATCCTAGCGTTTTAGTGAGGTGTTAGATGCTATATGTGCGCTATACGATGATTTCATTAAACCCCCAAATTTTGACAAAGTGCAAGGTTTTTTACGTGGCAATCGTCATAGATATGGCACATGGTTTGATGTAAGTTGTGTTGATCTTTTTTATTGTGCATTTGGTAACCTTTTTTCTATTTAATACATGTTATTAGCACAATACTTTTGTCCATATGATACTTGTGTAAATATTTTTTATATTCTTGTACAGAACTGCGTGGGTGCAATTGACGGGACTCATGTACCTTGTACACCGATTGGTGTTGACAATCCGACAGCTTATCGAAATAGGAAGGGTGTCAACTCCCAGAACATAATGGCAGCCTGCTCTTTCGATATGAAGTTCACCTACATATTATCTGGTTGGGAAGGCTCCGCACATGATGCACGAGTGCTCGCGGATGCGGTTGGAACGCCTAGGTTTAAGTTCCCACATCCCCCGCTAGGTTAGACTTTAGATTGTATTCCTTTTTATGGCTATTTATTGTTATGGATTGTCGCTGAAATTAGAATCTTGATTCGTGTATATTACACAGGAAAGTACTATCTTGTTGATTCGGCGTATGCGAACAATGACTATTTTCTAGCTCTGTACCGAGGCGGGACATATCATTTGGCTGATTATAGAAGGAGAACCGGTGGATTTCAGGGACCTAGAGATATTTTTAACTACAAACATTCATCCTTAAGAAATTGTATTGATAGAACATTCGGGGTTTGGAAGGCTAGGTTCCCTATCCTAAGGCGTCCAAATAATAGTTATCCAATGAAAAAACAAGTGAAGATCCCTGTGGCGTGTGCAATATTACATAATTTCATCCACATAGTTAGTGAAGGGGACCCGCTTCTAAATCAATACTACCGTGATGGTGTACCGGTAAGTGAAATAGATCCAAACAATACAGATGAATTTGATGATGATGACTATGATGGCAATGTCCCTGAGGGGCCAGTTGTAACAGGAGCTAGTGTTAGCCACATAGAGATGAGTCGATTTAGGGATCGCCTTGCAAATGAAATGTGGGTAGAATATAAGAAAAGCTGTGGGAAACAAGTTTGATAGTGAATTTAAGTAATTAGATCCTATATCTATTCTATAAAATTATGTCTCTAACAACTTCCTATTTATGTCCTTATAAACTTTAGAAAATTTTTTGGCTTTGTTTAGTAGTCTTCTATTGTGTATTTGCTTACTTATTTGATGCTGGACAGTCTTTCTTACCTCCTCATGAATGTCGATGAAAGTTCTACCTTTTTTTCCCCTTTGTCAACCATTTTTTTTCCTTTTTTCATCTTTAACTTCTCTGCTATTCATTACAATTTTAGAGTAATCTTTTTTTCTCTCTCCTTTTTGGTTGCTTTTTATATTATATTAAGAATTATATTTGTTATTTACACCCAAACGTGTTTTACACGACCAAATGTTGGTCCTTGTGTTGTTCATGGATCATACTTGGAAAAAAAGACAACCAAACATAAGTTGGAATCACATTTCTAGTTCTACCCATAAAGTAAAAAGCAAGGTTCTGTGATTCATGGTTCAAGGTTAAACTATGAATCATAGTTTTGGTTCAAGGTTTCAAAATCACTATGGTTTGAACTATTACACCAAACGCACTCTTAGAGTACGTTTGGTATAAGAGTTCTAGAACTCAGAATTATGATTCTAATTCAAATTAGTGTTTATTTATAAAATGTAAAAAGTGGTTCTTATTTGATTAACTTAGAATTAATGTTTGGTTTGGATAGTTTTGATTGAAGATTTGAATTGTGATGTTTTAAATTAGGAATCACTTCTGATTTTAAAACCACTCCCTTTGGTTTTGGTCGGTTCAAACTCATGATTCTGGTTCTGGTTTTAGAATCATGATTTAGATCTAAAATCATGATCACGGTTTTAGTTCTAAAATCAAAATTAGAATCACTTTGGTTTGAACTCTCATACCAAACGAAGTCTTAGGTTGCGTTTGGTATGAGAGTTCAAATCAAGGTGGTTTTAGTTTTAGAACTATAGCTATGATTTATGGTTTGAACTTAGGGTCCAAACCATAATTCTAGAACCAGAATCAGAATCAGACGTTTGAACCATCCAAAATCAAGGGGAGAGGTGGTGTTATTTTTTTGGGTGGTTTAGGTTTAAAACATCACATTAGGATTCAAATCTTGAATTAGAACTATCCAAACCAAATATTGGTTTTCAAGAACCATTTTTTACTTTTTACAAACAAACAAATGTTTGAACCAGAATCATAATTCCGGTTCTATAATCCTCATACCAAATGCAACCTTAAAAAATAAAACCACACCCCTCAGAGTTTTGGATGGTTCAAACTATTAGTTTTGATTTCGGTTTCAGAACCATGGTTTAGACTTCAATTTCAAACCATGAATCATAATTCTGGTTCTAAAATTAAAATCACCTTAATTTAAACCCTCATAATTCCATCTCCTCATAGTCCCATTCCCCTAGGCAAACACTCTCTGATTAATCTTTCTTCTCTTTGTTTTTCGACTACATTGTCATTTGACGAAAACTTTGACTAAATTTTGATCTTTTTGACTTTTATGTATCTACTATGTCGTGTAATCTTTTTGTATGCATATATATTTGACTATCTAGCAATGTTATTATACTGTGAACAATATAGCATCTGTTTTGATCTCTGTAAGATTCAGGTGTTTTTATGATTAATTCTTACTGAGATTACATGAATACGTCTCCTGAGTCTGGGTTGTTTAGTTGGGGGATTCGTCTCCTGATTCGAATCATGGTTCGTGATTCGCTACAGTATTTTCTCTCACAAAAAACACACGTAAATCGAAAATAGTTCTAATCACATGGTTCTAATCTATGAACCAAATGTTTGCATCTTAATTACATATCACTTTTATTTATCGCATTCACTGTTCTTCCTATTCATTTACTTTGCCCTATATTCTTGTCTTCTAATAGTTATCCATTATAATCTCTCTTTTTGCAAGTTCATCAGTCTCTTCTTATAAGAGTTAAATATTTTCCTTTATCTGGAGTTTCAACAGTTCTTATCATTGAATTTTTCTTAAGCCTTCAAGTTTTTATGTTATTACGTACTAGTCCCTATTGAATCTCTATTAAAAATCCTTTTACCTAGATTTTTTAATTTTCCTCAGATTGTGCTTACTGAAACAGTTTTCTATTTCATTCAAATTTTAATAATAATAAAAATAACAATGCTATCCTTTGGGAGGTTTTCTCATGATATTTGGTCTTTATCTTATCTAACAGTTCCTACAAATTCAAAATTTAAACTGTTAGTTATGCATACGGTTATGTTAGTAAATTTTCATTTCCAATTTAATTTGGATAATACTTCTGTTTATCTGTCGGTTGGACCCGTTCACTTCGCAGATTCGAGTTTTTAATTCAAGTTAAAATGTGACATTTTATGAGAGCTTTTTACTGTAGCAGAAAAAGCTATATGTGATATTTTCTGATAGTTTTTTACTGTTGAAACCTAAAACTGAAAACTCAAATCGGTGAAATAAACGAGACTTTAGTTTTCTCTCCACACTAATTGACCTCTATTATAAATAAGTGGTTTGCTTATTAACAATCGTATATTTCAAAACTGTGAACGAATAATGCAATATTACTGTTTTTTTATATTTACTAAGCTAATATAGTCTTTTCTTGATAATTATGAATTTCTATTATTTTTAAACAGATTGATTTAATTTATGAATACTCTACCACTTGTATGTATGAATTTTAATGATATATTTAAATTATTAATTAAAGCCGCTCTTTAATTCATATTCACTTTAGGTCGTGTTTGAAATTGATCCCGTTTTTCGAGAAAGAAAAAATAAAAACGTTTCTAAAACGGCATTTGGCGCAATAAAAATAAAAAACAGAAATGAAAATGATTTTTTAGTTTAGTGTAAAATGAGAGAGAAATGAAAAATAACTTTTAGTCGTTTTTCATTTTTTGTTTTTGTTTTCTCATCTCTTGAGTAGAGAGAGAAAGAGAGACATTAATGAGTTTTTTTTACACTGAAAATAATCTCTTGATAAAACTACCAAACACATTTTTAAAAATGATTTCTGTCTGAGATTGAAAATGTTTTTATTTTCATTTTCATACAAAAAATAAAATCATTTTAGAACGAATTCTAAACGCAACCTTAATCTCCTCAACTCTCTGATTAATTATTTTATGTCTTTTAATAATGCTTGTTTTGTTTAATTTTTCTACGTACATCTTAAATATAGTTCTTAGAGCCAATATTCTTTAGTTATTCTAAGAATGTAAAAACTAAATTGATTACTTGTAAGAGATATGTACATCTCAAAATATAGGTGTATATATAGACATGGTTTTGATATAAATTTTTATTGTTTTTTATTTTAATGTTTTTCAAATTAGAAAATATGGATGTTTGTAGGAAAGGTCTAAACAACCTTCCTTTACTTCCTCCCTCATAAGATTGTATCAGTCTTTCCAACACCTCTAAGTTTGTTTCAGTCTAGTCACTATAGTAACTTATTGGAATTTCTTTGTTTATTAAGTTCTCGTTCACTTCGCGGATTTGAATTTTCAATTCGGGCTGAGATGTGACATTTTTTGAGAGCTTTTCACTGTAGCAGAAAAAATTAGATGTGATATTTTCTGAGAGCTTTTTACTGTAAAAACCTAAAACTGAAAACTCGAATCTGTGAAATGAACGAGGCCTAAGATAGGCAATCTTTTTACTCTCTTTTTAATGTTGATTATGATTTATGCATTTTTTTATTTATAATCTTATATTTTTTAGGATCAGCATGATGTCTCCAAAATTTTTTTGATCTTTGTCCTTAAATATGTTTTATTTTTTCTTCCAGTTAGATAAATCTTTTTATTTATTCTTTAACATCACATAATTTATTCTCACTTACTCCTTAGATAGAAAAGACATTATATGGTTGAATTTCTTTTCACCATGAATTGTATCTATTCTTAAATATTTTCTGTCTACTTAAAAAAAAAAAAGAAATGGTCTAGAAGGCTGAAAAAAAAAAAGAGTATGGACATATTTTTAGAAATTTTATTTTTAATGGGACAAACGAACAATTAAAAAGAAATTTATGAGAATGATCTTTAATACACAATATATTAGAGCATTATCAGACTAAAACGTATGTGTAGGATAACATTTGGAAAAAAAATAATAAAGGTAAATGAAAGAAAAAAATTAAAAAGAAAGATAAGTGTGAAGAGTATAATATATTGGGGAAGAAAAGAAAAAGAAAAAAAAGAACATAAAAAATAAAAAAAATCCAAAAACAAACAAAAAAAAGAAAAAACGTTAAGACATTATTTATTTTACTGATTTAAATTTAAAATTTAAGTTTTATTACAGTAAAAAATCTTAAAAATAATTACATTTAATTTTTTTATTATAATAAATTTTTTTTATATAAAATTACATATTAACTCAAATTAAAAATAAATCAATAAATTAAACGAGCTACGCTGCTAAGCGTTTTCACTCTTTTATATAGTTGTGATTTTAAAAATAAAATCAGTTTTAATCTACTTTTTAAAATGTCTTTTTTACCCCTCAAGTAGTTCAGCTTTTCCCCCTTCGTCATTTCTTTTCTCAACTCACGCCTCTCTCTCTCTCTCTCTCTCCGGCCCCCTCTCTGTCATCAACCAACCCTCTCTCTTCACCGGACCCGTCGTCCACTCTCTCCCCCCAGGGTCGAAGATTGATGCTCTCCCCTCTCTCCCGCGCACGACGACGGCGACGTTCGTGTCTCTCCTTTCTCTCTCTCTGCCTCCGGCGAAGCTTCGTTGCTGGCTATAGAGTCCACGCGTGGCGACGACCTCCATTGATTCGTTCGTTCGGCTCAGATCGAGGACGCCGAGGATTTAACTCGTTCTTCTCAGATCAACGACGCCGTGGAGATTCGGTGCCGTTTGTTGATCTCGCCGAGTTTGAGAACATCGATCGACAGGGAGTGAAGACGGTTTCGCGCGTGCCGCCGTGGAGTTGTCGTGTCTTTCTGGAATCGGGTATGATATTTGGGCGAATTTTAGG